TCTGCATAATGAGAGATTCCAAAGTCTTTCAGAGATGTATGTAGCCTTTTCCTTCTCAGGTAATAAATTAATGACTCTGAAGACAAGGGCTTGATTTATGCTAAAGATATTTGAGCCAAATGGATATATGAAATATTTCAACACCACAATCCAGGTCCTTCCCTCCTAACACCACTGAAATTGCTTCTCCCATAAGAATCCACCCGAGAGTCTGTCCTTGACCCTGTGGGCAGGCAGGTCCTGCTCCTCCTTCCCAGGAGACTTCTGGCTGCCCCACTAGCAGCTCCTTCTGTGAGCTGTGATTCCTGTTTACGAATTTCCCTCCACGTGCTCCTTAAAAAGCAAAGGCTATTTCTTTCATATCAGTGCACTCTAAAAAACAGTGATGTAATTAACATTTATTTGCTACTTATTCTATTTCAGGGCCTCAATGAACACACAATACATTTTCTAATTTAATTCTCACCCTATGAGCAGCTACCATTATTATCCCCAATTTGCAGATGCAAAACACAAGGCTCAGAGGAGTGAAACCACTCCAACTAGTTTCAGATCATTCAGCTGGCATACAACGAAGCAGCCTGCATTAGCAACTTACTCTCTGAACACATGCACTAACCTAGCTTAATGTACGCATGAATGAAGGAAAACTGCTTGCTTGATTTACTTTACTAGATTTTAGCACAGTATTTATCCTTCAGCTAAGGTATTAAGAAAACAGTCTGAATTCAGATGCTGTTTTTGTTGAAGGCATCAAAGTATTTTAAATTAGGAATGATATAAAATAAATATTAATAAAATTATCTCATACATGCACACAAAAAAATAGGAAAATATTTTATAAGCTGGTCTAACTATTTCATCAAAGCCAAAACAAAAAGCAAACAAAAAGCAACAATTAACTAGCATAGGTACCACCTATCTGCCTTGAAAATCATAAATCAATATATCCTGTATTGAAAAAACAGCAATTCTAAGAAATGAACAACTGTCTTTTTTCAGTGCTAGCAGAAAATTCATCAAAGTTACACATTGTGTTTAAATTTGAAATCTGATTTTGGATTTCTACTTTTGCTTCTGTGTAAATTAGGTATGAATTTTATTTAAAGTGCTAATTTATAAAGGGTCAAAGTCTACAAAAGAGGACCGTTTCTGGCTTCCTTTTTAAAAAAACATGTTCACATGCATCTGTTCAGTCATATGTACAGATCCATGTACTTAAAAATATTTACATTTGTTCCTATAAAGGTGCTCTGGGGGGACTGCAAGGTTAAAAAAAGATCCAATATTTATTGAGTGCTTAAGATGTGCCCGGCACAGATCTAAGTGCTTTGCAGAGATGGCTGCTTTTAACTTTCCCCAAGAGCCAACTGCATGGGGCCAGCACAAGTGAGCCCCCACCCTGCGGGGAGTGAGTGGCGTGGAGAGCAGGCAAGGTGGTTTCCTGAGGCTCACACAGCTGAGACCCTTGCCCAGAGGCCGACCTCACAGTCTGCACACCTTTCCCTTTCACTTTTCCCTGGAAAACTGCTCAACAAAGTAAGATCCACACCTGACCTTTAGCTCTCTTCCATCTAACATCGCCCCAGGGGCAGCTACTGGGCGTCATGGACAAGAGCTGTGCTTGAATGGGCATCCCAAGTCCTTCATACAGTGGACGTGGGCAGGGGCTGGTGTGGGGAGCTGGTCTCACCTTTGTTGGCCATGTGAACTTGTGCAAACTCCTGTGCAAGAAGAGAAACAGAAGCTTCTCAAAGAGCAGGACCCGAATGAAATCATTTATTTAGCACATTTGCTCTTGAAAGGCGAGGGTGGAAGAGTACAAAGCCATGTAAAGAATTAGAGAACACTACAAAAAGTCCTGCACAGGAGGATTGTTTGAAACAGACAAAGCCCTGTTGGGGTGGGTGGGCGCAGAGAGGAGTAACAAGGAGTCATACACGGCAGTTAAGTTGAGGACAGGCTTCCAGCTAGGCTAAGTGTAGACCCAACGTTTCATTTATTTTTTCTCTACCTTATGCCCAATGCAAATGTAGATCATTTGTCCTCTGCAGATTAAATACTATGTGCCGAGCATCCTGATGTGCCAGCCACCGCAATGGTCTCCCATGTGCTGTGGATCACTCAGGGTTCCCCACGCTGAGGTGTAGGCACTTGCGCTGGCTTTGACTGCAGCTTGGTGATTCTGTCTTTGAGCTGGGAAGACTTCTGTCAGTCACCAGGGGGGTAACCTGCAAGGGTCCCCAGACCCCACGGGTCTCATGTTTACCTCTGTTCCACAGACACACTGTAACACACACAGCTGCTTTCTGTGTCATAACAAGTCACAATGAAAAAAAGGCAGCTCATTACACTGAAGTTTTAGAAAACTACAGTAAATTTTTAAAGAAGCAATAAAGCACAAGTTTGATATCAGTGTTTCATTGCTGCCAGCACTAATTTTGTTCATGTGCTTTAGAGGTCTAAGAAAATGCTGAGAATACTGTAAGCTTTTCCTTCCCACCAAAAGAGAACTAGCCTCTGCTCATGCTCTTCCTAGCTGAGTGGTACAAGCAGCAGCCAGTACCCACGCAGTTTTCCACAACAGAATCCTAGGGTTTACTTTCTACTTGGTCTCCAAGTCCCTCTCACCTGGCTCTCATTTTCACTTCTCCTAGCCTCACTGATCCTAGCGAGACCACCCAACCCCGGACCTGGCTGATCACACAGCAGTGATTTCCTCCTGTGCCAGGTCACTGTCTCATCACCGGCTGGCTACGTGTTTCCAGCCACAACTCTAAAAAGTAGGTAAGATTGTTCTACTTCAAACTTGCAGCAGCTCCCGGTGGCCGCATCCAGGATGAAGGCTGGAAGCCAGGCCAGGTCTATCAGCATTGTCATTTCCTGGCCCCATTCTTCTTTGACCAAGGCCAGTCAGACAGCTGTGCCAGCAACACTGGACCACTCACCCAGCCCTATGACTTTGGATGGGATCTTTCCAATACTGGGCTTCTCAGAGCCCACACACAAGTCCACCATATTTTCTCCAACCTGGTTCACAGGATAACTTCTGTATGATTAGAGGCATTACTTCCTCTGGATTCGTGGCTTAGAAATAGCAAAAGAATAGAAAAACACCTAAGTCTGGGTCTAAGTCTTTGCAGTGATGGGCCCTTCACCTTTTGGAGTCATTCCCATTCCTGAACCCCAGGTCCTGGGCAGGCCAGCCTCATGCCTGCCCCCAGTCCTGGCCATAGACAGCACTTTTGCACCCAAAGCTGTGACTCACTGGTGTGTTCTCTAGGTCCAGTTCCAGTTCCAACTGAAGAGATAACTCAAGTGGTGAATGGGCTGGCTAATGTAAACATAACATCTAGATAGACTGCCTGCTTCTCTGTAGAAGCATGTTATTCTTCAAAGGTAGGCAGCACCTATAATTCTGAATTAAACTAAATGGCATTTGTTAGCAAAAATAATCATGGAAGAGGTAAGGTATTTTATCTAATACATAAATCAAATTATAAAACTGATATTGTAATGATAATTAAAATACTATTCTATCTCATGAATGCACATAAAGCCTTTAATTAATCTTCTTCAACTTATCTCTAAAGTGCAACTGGGACTTAAAACTTTTAAAAATGACCAAGTTCAGTTATTAGTGTTAGATCAGTCCACTTTGGACTTAAATTGTACAACCTTTACTGTTCCTAATATATCAATGCCTACCAGAAAAGAATGCTTAGAAAACTTAAGGAAAACATGACACATGATAAAAAGTGCTTAGAAGAAAATACACTTCACAGGATCGTTCATTTCTGAATACATAACCTCCCTGGAGTTTGAGCCAAGGCCTTAGTTACAATGACCATATGATATAATCAAATGTGCAGACTATTTCAAGGCAAAACATTACCACCATCAATGTTTTTAAAATAAAATTATAGTTTAGGAGAACTTTTTAATGATTACAGCATGTGCTCACAGATTTTAAAAATACTCTTTTAGGTCAAGGGAATGGATAAAAATTTAAATTATTTTCTAGACTAAAAACATTACAGATAATAATTTTTGTTCTCTCCTTTTGTTAGAGACCCAATGTAGATATGCACTATCAAACTGTCTTCTTACAATGTGGATGAGAGACTTTGTTTTTAAATAGCAACTTGTTTTTTACTGAACGTTTAAAAGGCAGGTTGAGATCCCAGTCCTACAGGCCTATGGGAGCTCTCAGCAGGGTCTTTTGAAACCCTGTGAGATCTGATAATAATGGATCGCTCACTCTTGTTTACTTTAAGAACTTATCAACAATGAGGTTTGACACATAAATCTGTTTAGGTAAAGAGACTGTAATAGAGTATGCAACTATAAGTAGAGCACATTCTGAAGGAAAGTCATTTACGGTCCTGTGAATATAAAAGCAAGTCATCAGCTATCCCAAATGTAATCCCGCATCCCAGCCTGCAACAGCGCTCCAGTATGATATTAAAATAGCAAACCTTTGCCAAGCGTTAACCTATCATTATACCGAGTAAATGGCATGGCACTGCCACCTAATTAGCAGTGTAGCTTGCAACTATAAAACAGAATTAGCGCAACTGCTCTTTTTTATTATCAGTCTGTGTTTCCAGAAAGGTATGACCTTATCTGTATGCTTCTGATCATTTATGCCCATCTACAAAGGATTTAATTATGTTCTTTCAGCCTTCTACGCCAAAGAAATTGAAAACTGCCACTTCAAAATTAAAAATGCTAAAGACATTAGTAAGCAGATTATTTATGCCATTACCTTTCTTCTTTCAGAGACAAAGAATCAAAACATGCTTAAGCGAATGTAAGGCACACAGGTTTTGGGAAAGAAAATTTGAGACAAAGAAATTACTAGTCATCCCCTTTCCCATGGGTATTTCCCAACTTCTTCTAGTTGTTTTGGGCAGAACTAGTGAAGGGGAAATTGAACTAGAACTACAGACTCCAAAAGTTACACCAAGCAGAGTCGGCAGCTAGAGATAGTGACTTACATCTGAGGCAGGTGATTCGAGTACGATGCCAAATCCCAGGACAGGGCCCTGCCCGGCGGTGTGGACTGCAGGCTGCTCCAAGGCCCCCGCGGCTGGCTTCTTCTCCGCTTCTGCCACACCGGCCTTCTGTTTCACAGTAGCAGGTTCTGCTGGCTTTGGGGGCACTTTTTTCTTTTTATTTCTCTTGCGAGAGACAGCAGTTCGCTGGGAGCATATAAGGGAAATTGGGGGTTGTTGTCTGTTTTGAGTTCCAACTGTGAACAATAAACACAAATATGGTACAGGCACTTGTGTCTAACTGGGAAAACTTACTCTGGGTCCGGCTCTGTCTTCTGCAAAGTGACACCGAACTAAAGCTCTCTCAAGGGTAAAGCACATCAAAACAAACCTCACTCTGTACCAGATGCAGCTGGGGCACGGTAAAGCCCTATGGGCAGAAGTACACCCAGGGGAGACCTGCACCTACTCCGGTGGGGTGTGTGGGGTAGTACTACTGCTGGCTGGAATGGAAGGGAAAGGCGGACAGCCGTGAGGAACTCCCACCGAGACTTAATGAATCACACAGCATTCGTAAATAAATGAATTTAGGTACAGCTGTCCACACCTTCTGGCAAACCCATTTCAGGAATATTCCAACTGTCACTTGGAGTCAGCCGATCCGCTGCTAATAATCTACAGGTACCAAAACGAAGACGAAACAATGATGACCATATGGGCATCTGGAAGAGTTCTGTAACAGGGACCGGGGGCCACGTGCAGAATGACCGTCAATCACTTAATGGGGTCCAGGAGCCCCTTCCTTATCAGATATTCCGGCACACCCACCCTTCTCAGAATACAACGCCAGAGGGCAGTAGACCAGGCTGCTTCTCCAGACTTGTTTTACACAGCTAAAAGGCAAGCAAATGAGTTAAATCTAAAGCAGTCTGAGTTCCAAAGATGAAAGCACAGTGTGAAGACTAAGTAAGCACAGTAACACACACAAAGAATCCAAGAAGGTAAATGCAGCTTTCACATGTACACTCTGAGAAGCAGTGTTTGGTATTTGAAAAATTCCAAGGGAACACGAAGCAGGAAAGTACGATATGTTTCCTAAATATATATGACTGCAGGAGATGTCTGCTCCTGACAGAAAGAAACTATAAATATGAGCCAAGAAAAACAACTGGTCTTCAAAGTCACATGCGTAGGAATCATCTCCTTTTACTTATTTCAGTCTGAAGATAGAGAATATTTACATTTGGATCTGGGTGGTTTCTTCTCCAGGCAGAAAGGAAATTTAAAAGTGTTGGACACAAACTACCTAAAGAAGCAAAGTTGTTTAAACAACCATTCGTGCAATAGTCAGTCTCAGTGGTGCTCAGCTTTAGTGGCACATGAAATCACTATTTTTTTTTTAAACAACCAACTCCAGTGCCTCAGCCTCAACCTGCAGCACACACAGTACAGGCCTGGTAGCGCACTCTGCTGTGGTTCCTCCAGCTACTGTGTGCAGCCAAGCTGAGACCTGCTCTCCGTTCTACCCACTTTTACTCCAGGCCAGCACGGTCCTGTCTCCAGCTTGAATGGGTCAGGAGGTAGCCACCTGGTCCAGCCCTCTCTAACTTTTCACCCCCAGCTAAGAGAAAGAATGTCTCTGACTTAGAGAATGCAGGGACTCTCTGACTGTTGCTTCTCCTTTTGAAAATCCAGACACAGCTCAAGTTTCTGGTGTTCAGGACTTACTGCTTGAACCTACATCCTTGCCTTTTCTCTAAAATAAAATTGAAACTTTCAAAATATAATTTAACCAGTCATACTAGTAATGAAACTTAAATAAATCTTCCTCATACAAGTTTTTCTCAGTTTAAGAAAATTAAAGGAGTAATTTATTCAGTTCATCCTTTATGCTATCTGTTGCTTTGGAATCATTTACCTTCCTATTCTGCACAGGTTGAGAAATGAACACATGATGACAAAGTGGCATTTACTTAATAGATTCTAAAAAGACTGCAGTCAAGGATTTAAGTGGTTGCAATTTGTAGTTTGCCATCTCAGTAGTAAGGAGCTTAAGTAGCAAAACAAATCATTACAATTTCACATGCATATTTTCTTAAGTACAACAAACTCTCCCTCTGAGAAAAGAATTTGTCCATAATAAAGTAACCTTTCTTTCTGAAGCCCTTTTTAAAAGAGGCTAACCTTTGCCAGGCTAACAAGAGCTCAGACTATTGTGGTGAAACAAGGTGAATCAAATGCTCACTGACCTGAGGAAAATGTTGGTTTTTGCCTTGGGATAAAGCCAAATTTAATACTTAAGAACATGTTGCTTTTTCAGCAAGCCTTTAGCTTACCTTACTTTAATGTGATCTTCAGTGACTGATACAGCTAAATATTAAGTTTTTTATATCCAAATCATATCACTGAGCATTAGGATTTTACAAGAACTCAGGGTACCAAATGCAGCTTCTGAACGATGATGTTCCTGAATGCCAGATGATGAAAAGGTAGGCAGGCCAGGCATGATGGACCTATGCTACCTATTCCCCTGCTTTACCCTAACCAACACCAAGTAGCAGCTTCCTCCGAGAGAGGGAAAAGTTAATAAGGTGATTTAATATTTCTTGGACCCGTGGTTAAAAAAAAAATTTTTGTTTTTCCCGCTAATTGTGGAAATGAGAAAATGAGCTGCTCAGTGAAGACCTTGACCTCTAGACAACATTAACAAGATAGCTTCTGCTGGCCTGCTACCTTCCAAAGTTGTTCATGTTTGCTACCTCATTTTGATTTGAAAACAATCGTGTAATACACATTAAAGCTCCATTTACAGGCAAAACCAGGAGGCTCAGGAGAAAAGGGGTGTCCAACCCACAATCTGAATCCTTTACTCTTCTGTTTGTGGGCAAAAAAAAAAAAAAAAAAAAAAAACCCTGTAGTAATGCAAATGCAAGGGACAGACAGAAGTTTCTCTGAGCTTCTACAGTTGTGGTAAGAAGGAAAAGCCAAAGTAGAACCTGAGGCTCAACACCTCTCGGTGCTCACATCCACAAACATCTTCCACAGAGCAGCCCACGCTTCCTAAGGGGCTTTTCTGTACAGCATGCTCCAAGATTTGTTAACTGACATTTGCGAAGTACTGGGAGATACTGACTACATGTATATAAGTATACAAGTAGTATTAGGAGTGATCTAAGTTTTCTTGATTTGCTAAGGAAAATACCCCACAGGGTCACCAAAAAAGCTGAGGCAATGGATTCTCAAAAAGACACTGCTAGCAAGACAGCAACATGGGAAGGATTCTGTAACAAAAGCACAATGAAGATTCCAATTGAGGATGCCAAATATGGGGCTGTGCAGTAACAATCAAAGGCCCCTCTCAGAGGCCTGGTCTTTGTACCTGCTTGGATCTGCATTAGTTTCCGCATGGTCTTGAGCTCTTGGAGAATGGCCTGCAATGTTGACTGGCAGTTACAAGTACAGCAGTTTGATCCAACTGATGAATTCGTCACCGGAAGTTCTCCTAAGCATGAGAGAAAAGAATGACATGAACCCAACAAACAAAAAAATATAGTGGGGGTGGGAAGATGGCACCTTAGCAGGATTTTGAGTTGTGTGCAATTAGTATGAAACTGTGTCTGAGGAAAACATACTCAATAATTTTCACAGCCTGGATTGCAGTTCTGCGCTGTCTGATTACCCAAGCTAAGAAGCAAGGTGCAGGCTGTGTCACAGGAGGACACATGCAGGCAGGCCTTCCTGCTGTTGAGACAGTCATCTCAGATAACAGCACCCCAAAGAGCCCCCACAAACATACTCATGCTATTGTGCACAAAACAAAACACTCTACCGCCACTCTGATGCCAGACTTTAAAACAATTGGTCTCTGTGTACTGATATTGGAGCTCATATTAGGAACTGAGTCTATTAAAAAAGAGTGTGAGTAGGAAGCATATTATTTCAAACACGAAGACCTGCGATCACAGGGAAACAAGGGGAGTTCCCTCTGGGCAGCTGTGCCAGGCAGGAGTGGCAGGCTGGGAGGGGAGCTCTTCTCCTGGATGGCGTGGGGTGTTGGTGGGCACCTTTCCTCAGCAGCCAGGAGGAGGTCCTCATACACCTCCACCACTCCCGCTGCCCCGCCACAGTCTAACACTGTGCAAATCTGGTACATTTTCCTTGAATAAAAGTATCCTGTTCTGCTTGCCTTATGTGTAAACAAGCATCCCCATATTGTCTTGGGATCAAAAGACACAGCTTAGAAAAGGGCTCTCTGGTGGCTCAGTTTGGTGCTGATGTACACTTTGGAAAGCGGAGCCGTGAAACAGCTACCACTTGAGCCTTCTTTTTTGTCTTTTTTTGAGATGGGGTCTCGCTATGCAGTTCAGGCTGGCCTTGAGCTCTCTTTGTAGCCCAAGCTGGTCTCGAACTCGCAACAATCCTCCCACTTCAGCCTCCCCAGTGCTGGGATTACAGGCATGAGCCACTATGCCCGGCTCACTTGAGCCTTCTATCAGGTGGGCCAGGTCAGGGCTACGGTTTTGCTCCGATTACAGTCCTCATTACACATTAGGTGTCTCTCAAGCCTGTAATGTGCATTATGTGCACATAGTAAAGTTCACCACCACAAAATACTTCTAGCACAATTATTTACACTCAAGGCTGTGCCAGACTGATATGCTGCAACTTTAAAACTGCAAATTTGGGGGAAATATCAAAGAAATCCCAGTTACAAAAAGGTGGGCCTTGAACTAGGTGGCAGTTAGGGGTACTGACCACTAAAAATCCATGGAGAACTTAACTTTGTTTTTCTTTTCCAGTATTGAGGATTGAACTCAGGGCTTCTGCACTGAGCCACATCCCCTCATTTATTTTGTGAGGCAGGGTCTCACTAAATCACCAGGCTGGGTGTGAACTTGAGAGCCGGCTGCCTCAGTTTCCCAGACTGCTAGGATTATAGGTATGCATACCATGATGGGCGAAGGACTTCTGCCCAGAACTTTTGATCCTCTATAGCAGTAACATGATATGGCTATGAATCATTTCCACTGGTACAGTCTGTAGAGCTGGTTAACTTCATGCAGTGACAGTATAATACTGTTCTTACATCTGCTATTTCTCTCTCCTCAGAACAGAATCCTGTATGGTCTACATGTGTGTGTGTGCAACTTTTGATAAATTTAAAAATTATAATAGATTTGTGTATGCTTATGGCAGTAAATGATAAAACACTATTATGTATAGACATTTTGTGCATTCATGATTTATATAACTTTCGATCTATTTTCTATTTCTGGGCTATGAGGTTCATCTAAGACTTTTCCTAAATTGTGATAAATCTCAAAAAAAAAATTATTCTCAAAGAGTATCTGCCCAGTTCAAATCCATGTTATTCAAGGGTCAACTATATAATGTATTTTTGTTAAATGTATGCAAGCAATACGCACAAAAAATGTCTATTTTAAACAGAAAGGGAGGAATTTATGGTATAATTCGTAATAACATTAGTAATATCCTTCAAGTCAAATCTGCCACACTTTCTGTGCACTGGAAAGCAGAACACTTGTTATCCATACATACCTAAAGCATCTCACTTTCCTTCTTTGACAACAGGAGAGTGAGGGGGCTTCTCAGACATTCCTAGGCACTACTCTAAGTGCTACCTTTGTCATTGTTAGAGGACAAAGGTAATCATTCTCGGTTCATTATAAATCACTGTCTAATTTTAAAGAGAAAGGGCTATTTTTATGGTGGAGCCTTTAAAGCGCCATCTCCCTGTTGGCAGAAGATGCCAGCATATAAACCTGACACTGGCCCCACTGATCCTGGGAGGAAGAGAGACTCTGTGTCTGGGTTTCCTGCTGTCTCCCAAGTGTCTCAGGATGGCTATTCCATCCCTCAAATTAGTTTAAAGAGAAGAAAACAAATCAAAACCTTTTTTTTGGTGCAGGGAATTGAACTCAGGACTTGATGCTTGCCAAGCAGGTGCTTTTTCTGCTGAGCCATATTCCTGGCCTGAAACTTCTTTTATTTAAAAGGATCTCATGAAATGAAAATAAACGGAAGAAAAGCTTTAACTTTTCAAGGAAACTCAAAACATCCTATTTTTTCCCTACTTTGCAAAAACTATAGATCTGTATATCTACAGGTAATTAATAAAACAAATAATGTTCAATGTTGCTGGATAGAAAATTAATATGACCAAGAAAAGCACCATTTTTTCCCTTAAGCTTTGAAAATCACTGTCATTTTTTCTCCTTTAGCAATTAGGGACTTTACAGAAATTTATTTTTAATGGAACACTTTTTCAGCGCTAATGAGGCTGATTACAAACATGGGTCCTCAGGTTTAGCACCAGAATTGGAGGATTAAGAAACAAGCCCCGCGAGGTGTGAGGTTGTCAGCCCTCCCCACTACTGGCATTCTTCTGATGACAGAGCTGCATGGTCCCCCCCAAAAAACACTGTGAATACTTAACAGAAGAGGCCCCAATGCCCCCAGTCCTCTTCAGAACATTCCCCTGTGTTCTGCTCATGCCTGTCCCATCATTCGTGCTACCTTCTGGAGAGTTCCAGAAGTGTTCTTCTGAGAGTCTTTCGTTGCACTGTCATAGCTACTTCAATGTTCTGAAATGATTCAAAATATTTAATTTTCATCATCTTGACTTTGGGGAAGAGCCAGAAGTCACACAGTGCCAAATCCGTTGAATAAGATAGACGAGGACACACTATAGTGTTTTTATGAGCCCTCCTTTCCACTGGATGACGATCAGCTGTAAGATCCACTGTATTTTTAATCTCACCTCATAAAGACACTCATGAATGAGGGCTTCCAGAACTGCTTCAGAAAGTGGCAAGAACAATGGGATAAGTATGTCTGAAGCAAGCGGGGTGGTGTCTGGGGGGTTAATGGTGACGAGCCTTTTACTGTAATCAACTTGTTAAGAGTTTAGACACTTGCCATGTTCCCATCACCTCCTGCAAATGAAGGAATAAGTAAAAGGATATACTGTACATATCTGTAATACAACACAGAGTAAGGCAGATCCTTCTGGTGATAAAAGGAACTGTCGATGCCCTAATGTTCCATCTCCTGTGACATTTATGTATTGGCAGATGATAGTTTTAACTTCTTCGAAGGCTGAAATTTATACAGGGAAACCTTCACATAAGACACAGAACCTCCATTTCTCCTGCTTCTCTGTTCTAGACGTTGTAATATACTCCCATGCTCACCTTCATGTTTGCCCTGTCTTTTGAAATAGCTCAGCACAAGTGAGTGATTGAGGAAGAGTTTAATAAACTGATCTCAAAGAACAAACTGAATATTTAGAATAAGATACACCAGGACAACCCTCCAGAAGTACATTCTGAAAGCCTGGTGAGAACATACCGTTGGAACTTGCAGTGGTGTGGGGCTGACTCTGGAAGGTCTGAGAACGGGTACCATACTGCCCTGAGAACTGCCCACTGTGAGGTGTTAGCTCATTCCACGCACGTGAGGGAGGGGGGAGGCTCTGAGGGGCCTCTGCAGAGGAGTTTGAACGCTGAGGCCAAACTAGATCCAAGTCCTGGGGCTCTTCTTTTAATTTTTCTCCTTCTTTGCCGACACGCTGATATATCCTCCCAGTGCTGTCATTCAGTAATCTTCTCATCCCTGTAATTTGTTTTTTAATTTCCATGCTTTCATCTCCTAATGGAAACAAGGCAAAAGTTAGCATTGCAAATTAGAACAAGGAAAAAATGGGCCATACCAAACAACAAAACAAAATAATTGTTCTTTGGAAATGGGCAAGAATACTAATTCCATAAACTTAAGTAATTCGTAAGAATTAAAGGCAGGAAAACTGTTCTGTGATCTGAAGACACTGAACACAGCCTTGTGTCTTGTGTTAATCTCCTTCTGGCCAGTCTTTTCTTAGTGTATGCCACCAGGGACACATCCGATGCTCTCCCTGGAAGCATTTTCTTAGAATATTATAAGAAAATGGGCTGAGCCCAAAGACAAGGACGGTACGTGAAGGACAGGGTCGTCTGCTCAGCGGCAGCCACACAGAGGCCTGACGAAATCACAGACAGGCAAGAAACCAGCACAGTGCTCTGGCTGCTCATGGCTTGGCTCGGAAGGCAGGAACCCAAACAGAGAAGAACGCAGGCTAGTTGCTGGGACAGGAGCTTTCTAAGAGGAGCTGCAGAGCACGTCAGGAGTGCTACTGACAGCAGTTGTCCTCCAGGACGACATCTTGTTGTGGAGATACCACATTCCAAGAGGACAACAGGACACAGAGGCACGCTAAGTGTTGAGGGCCCCCAAGGAGGACTTTGTATTTCTTGCGCCCTGACTCTATGGCAGCATCCCGAGGGAGCCCATGGAGATTCCTGCCTACTCTAGGTAGCCAGCTAGACAAGCCCTGGATGTGTGGAAAGGCAGCCTCCCCACACTGGACCCCGCTAGAACCAAAGCCACCATCTGAACCTGCCCAGTCCAAATCGCCTACCACCTCCCCACACCACCCATAACTTCACACAAAGACAACAGGCTGTTTCTAAATCCACTTCACCTAACACTGACTTTTAAGATCAAGGTAAAATACACAAGGCACAAAATTCGTAATCTCAACCATTTTTAACACACAGTCTTGCAAAGTACATTTACATTGCTGTGCAACCAATCTCCAGATTTTTTTACACTGACTTTGTTACATTAAGTTTCTTTTTCAGTCAGGTGTAGTGGCATATGCCTGTAATACCAGTATTCTGGGAGGCTGAGGCAGAAATTTCTAAAACCTAGCCTGGACAACTCAGTGTCTCACTGAGACCTTGTCCCCAAATAAAAAATTTTAAATATAGCTCACTGTGGAAGTACTGGGTTCAATTCCCACATAGAGAAAAAAAAATCAAGATTCTTTTCCTCTTATAGGACATTTTTAAAACTAAAGTATTTCTATACTGGACTGCCAATACTTCATAAACTTACTTAACGATGACAATAAAACTGTGCAGATTGAAAGTATTTTCATCATCTTCTGGGAGCCATTTCAAGCATACTACCTTCTTTTCCTGTAGTGCTGGAGGTGGAAGCCAGGATCTGCACGTTAAGCAAGTGCTTTGCATTGAGCTCCCCCAACCCCATAGCATCTTTTTAAACTGTACACTGCCAGCATCCTCACAGAGATTAAAAGATTGGCTTTATTTTTCTTCCTTTAACCCAGGCCTTCAAAGTCCACATATCAATGCCTATTCATTAAGTCACTCTACTAAATGCTTCAAATTTAGACTACGAGAAAAATTAAAAAAAAATGTCTATTAAGAAATACACAGCTCTTGAAAATAAATGCATAACATAATATTCTAATGTACTTGGCATCGTATGAACTAGGTTTCTCAGTAGAATTCGTAATTGTACAATAACCTAGGTATTTTGTATCACTGAATTAGATATTTGGCTTATTGATGCATATGTGTCACATTAGCAGATATTGTAGAAGGAAAGTTTACACACTATTTTAAAGTCAGTCTGTTCTGTGTGGGCACTGGGATGGATCCTGGGCTTTGCTCATGCTAAGCGACACTCTACCACTTAGCTATTCCCCTGACGTGAACAACTTTTAAAAACAGTAATAAAAATACTAATTCTGTCTTTACTATTAAACACTGGTGAATTAAAAAAAACCACAGATTTCCAAAGTTACAATATTGTTATATTTTAGCATATGCCTCAGAGGAAAAACTCTGAATTCATAATAAAACTATTTCCACTTCAAACACCAGTGATGATTATGGTAGAGAAACAATAAATCATATTCCAGATTGTATGAGAAGAAGCAAGCAGGCATGATTTAAATAACACGAAGTCAGCAACTTTTACAAGGTCCTCACCGTGTCTGGGAGCAGGGTGTGTCTGGCTGGAGGAGCTCCAGAGGCTTCTGGAAGATACCAGTCACACACATCCCAGCCAGGTAACTGCACCGCTTCCCGCACGTTTCACCCTCTGCCTTCCGACCCACTGAGCCACCACAGTGCGAGCAGGCCTCACACAGCCTGCTCCTCACTGGCAGGGCTGCTGGCCACCTCTCCTGGCCCCCAGGGCTCTCTGTAAGGAGCTGCCATCAGCCAGGCCACGAAGGCCCGAGTCAGAGGTGACTCTTTCCCAACCTGACTCTGCCATCACAGGAGAGAGGATGCATCTTGTGTCCAAGTTCCCACCTCTGCTCCTTTGCTCTGAGAACAGAATTAATTCTATGACAAAGTGCTACCATTGGGAAGACAAAAAGGTCACAGGGATTCTGGAACCTTCTGAGGGCAAAACTGCTTGGTCATGACTTTAGTTTTAGAGGTGTAGAACTTATGCCTATGAAAATTAAGACTGAAAATACAACTTGAATTTTACATGATTTTTATATTTTCATGTTGACAACCAGAAGCCTATGCTGAGGTGGAGATGAGGAAAGAAGGTGACAGGCATCCATCAAGGAAACCTGGTGGCTGGCTGCGGCACAATGTGCAGAAAGAGGTCTTCGAAAGGCAAAACAGACCCCAAATCGGGATTTGGGAAAAAGCAAAGCTGTGAAGGGCAGCGGCTGAAGATCAAGAGCAAGACAGCTCAAGGCCTGTGTCCTTCAGAGCAGCATGGAAGACAGAGAAGAAGGCTGCAGTGACTGGAGCAGCTTCCATTGAGAGACCTACGCAAGGGTGAGGCAGGCTTGGCTGGGAGACCTTCTCAGGGGACAAGTGTGCACGCAGCAAGGGTCCCGGAGCTGGCCACATCCTATTTCCTTTATCCACAGACTCCTGGGAGAGCCGAGGCCATCGCGTTTGGATGTGTCCCTTGAGTCAAGGAGGTCTTAAGGCTTGGTATCTAAGTGGCAAGCTTTGGCAGAGAAGAGGAGGTTTCCTTGCACACTTGGGGCAGACACACATAAGGTCAGAAATGAGACCCGAAAACCAACGAAGGAGCTTACATCAATACTGAGCTAAACCATACAGCCCAGGGGCGTGGGTGCTAAGAGCAGGCAGGCGGACAGCTGCTCAGACAACAGAGGTCAGCAGGCATGCTGACAGAGCAGGGCCGCATCCCTGGCACATGGACGGCTCCTCAGCAGCACTTAACTTGCTGCTGGCTCTCAGACAAAGTTGTATTCTCAGCCTTCAGTTTCCAGAACCGGAGCCAGGCCTATGCTCTTCAGAGACCAAGAGATACACAGAGCAGTCTATACAGGTGGGACAGAGGTGTTTCAGTTTTTAAGATGCCTCCGAAAAGCACACATAGCCACAGGAAAAGCGGTTTATTCTATCTGTGGGAACTCATACTTTAATTTAAAAAAAAAAGGCAGAAAGTATGAGGCCGAAATACTAGTTCAGTTTTGTCTTTCCAGTTCTAGTTAGAGTCCTCTCCATTAAAGATATTTAGAAAAGGAAACTCTTAGGAGCAAGATGCTATCCAGAAAAATAAGATTCTACCAGGACACCCAGGCATTTTTCCTGACTTCTATCCATGCTTGTCTTGTTTTCACTCATCTTCAACTCAGAATCAAAATCCATTTTGAAAAAACAAACAAAAATGTTACTCTAACAAAGCTATGAAGCTATACCATGTGGCTCTTATTGTGAAACAACCTTAACTGAATTCCTTTGAAGAGTTAAGTCACTATACGCCATGGACAGGGTCTAGAGAAGCACATAGGCTGAATCTGATTCCTTTGTAAATGTCAGAACTGGTTTAGGTCACTTTCCCTTATATAACAAATTTTATGGTTCAGAGTCTCGCATATGTGCTAAGTGTGAGGGCAACAGAGAATCTGCCTTACCTTGGCCAAAAGAGCACACTCTGCAGAACATCTAGTCTTGGGCAGGAAGACACCACGGCACACAAACATGGAGAGTGGTTTACACACACAGCATGTGTCCACGTGTATGTGCCTTATCATCGCAAAGTCACACGAAGAACAGACTGTACCTTTATCCTGAAAATGCTGGCTTTTGATGTACAGTGAGGCACCCCATAAGTGTTTCTCAAGTAAGTATAAAAGAACTGGCTTATCAAACACATATAAAATTCAATAGAGTTAAATGCAACACCAATGTAGTAAACAATCAATCAGTATGGAAGAGTGAAAAGGTACCAGCAATAAATTATTCAACAAACATTTTATGGAACACTTCCAAGGCTCCAAACATACAAAGATCACTGGACACAAACTGAAAGGCACGCCTCTCCAAATGTTTCATCTTTTATCCAATCCCTGTACATGGACTTGCTGCTCTGAAAAATGGTCCTGACCACGCCCAGTCTGCCCATGTCAGTTCCCTGCAGTTCTGAGAACTAGTCAGGTACTCAGATAGCAAAAGGCCCTGCCATTTGCAGGCAACATTTTCTGCTTCCTGCCTAGAACTTTTCCCAGAGAACTCTGCTTCACCTGCAGGGTATTTATCCTCCCACCCCAACGACATGAAAGTAGGGGAAGAGGGAATTTGGCTTTCTTCTGGCCCCTAAAAATCTCACTTTGCCTGCCTCAGGAAGGAGCTCATAGAGCCATGCTCCCTTCCACCCTTCCTCCCGAGCAGCAGCTCTGTGTGCCAGCAGCTCAGGATTCACAGGAGCTATGCAGGTGACCAAGAGGTCAGGGAGGCCATCATCCCATTAAGGACCTTGTGTGCAGGTTAAGGTCGAATTTTACATGGGAGTCAGTGGGT